AGCCAGATTTATTATAATTTAGCTAGAGTTTTAGAATTGCCTGGTTTTCAAGGTTCCACCTTTTAAAGTCTCAACTGGCATTTCTGACAGGCTCATATGTCATTATGGCAAACTGCATAGATATGAATATATTTTTTCTGCCACACTGTATTTGGATAATTCACTTTCCCACTAATTTTGATGATTAAAACACAGCAATTAGAATTCACATCCGTGCTTTCTTGCTTGGTTTCCTATTCTCTCAATTTCAAAAATTGTGTGTAATTCTTATCATTAAAAAGCAAGCAAACAAACAACCCCTGCTCCCCAAAAAACAAACAGCAAGAATGTAATTAGAGCTTGGTGCCATAATTGAAAGGTGTAATGGAATCACAGTAAATGGCACAGTGTTTCTGCTCTGCAGGCTGACATACTAGACTACCAAATCAGAAAACTTAAGTAAGGGCTCTGCAGATAGCCTCTGAAACAATAAATATTAGATAATAAGACTACCTTGATTCATTGTGGTTGAAGTTAACCCTTCTGCAGAGGACCAGGACAAGGCCTATGCACTGCTTAAATTCCAAGTCCTCAAAATAATGTATAGGTGGGACTTAATTTGAGTGGCATATAGCCTTTGTGATGGCTGTCTGCACAGGTGTGAATCTGGCCTTCTGTAACTAGAATACCTTAGAAAATCACTGTGTTCCTTTCATAATGAGCATCGGGGTGGCAATTATTTGCTATGAATAAATATGTCTGAGGTTGCATGAATGTTACAGTGAATAATAAGGAACAATGGCAATAATCACTCCCAGTATGATACTTAGAAACAGGCCAAGCTGTTTCATCAAAATTCATATTGCTTGAGAAACTCGGGTTGTTCTGGGAGCCACAGATCAGTCATTAACTTAGTACACTCAAAAGGCAGTCAGTGCTGTGAAGAATGGTCTAATGGCTAGGGTGCAGCTCAGGATCCTTGGGTTCAATTCTCTGTTCCATGACAGACCCTCTGTGTGACCTAGGGCAAGCTGTTTAGGGCTTGTCTACACAAAGAGGTATTCCACATTCCCAGTTGGTGAATGGCATGCTGGAGCACGGTAGATTTACACCCCAGCTGGCCACACCTCACTCCTTGTTTGGATATGCCCCTAGTCTTTCTGTGCCTCAGTTCCTCACCTGTAAAATGGGGATACTAGTATTTTCCTGCCTCACAGAGACATTGTAAAGTAGCAAGGTAAAGGGAGCTATATAAATACCACAGGTTTCAGAGTAGCAGCCGTGTTAGTCTGTATCTGCAAAAAAGAAAAGGAGTACTTGTGGCACCTTAGAGACTAACAAATTTATTTGAGCATAAGCTTTCGGGAGCTACAGCTCATTTGATCAGATGCATGCAGTGGAAAACACAGTGGGGAGATTTTATATACACAGAAAACATGAAACAATGGGTGTTACCATACACACTGTAACGAGAGTGATCAGGTAAGGTGAGCTATTACCAGAGGAGAGAGAAAAAAGAAAAGCCTTTAGTAGTGATAATCAAGGTGGGGCATTTCCAGAAGTTGACAAGACCGTGTGAGGAACAGTAGGGATGGGGAAATAGTTTTACTTTGTGTAATGACACATCCACTCCCAGTCTTTATTCAAGCCTAATGTAATGGTGTCCAGTTTGCAAATTAATTCCAATTCATCAGTCTCTCATTGGAGTCTGTTTCTGAAGTTTTTTTGTTGAAGAATTGCAACTTTTAGGTCTGTAATAGAGTGACCAGAGAGATTGAAGTGTTCTCTGACTGGTTTTTGAATGTTATAATTCTTGACGTCTGATTTGAGTACATTTATTCTTTTATGTAGAGACTGTCCAGTTTGACCAATGTACATGGCAGAGGGGCATTGCTGGCACATGATGGCATATATCACATTGGTGGATGTGCAGGTGAATGAACCTCTGATGGTGTGGCTGATGTGATTAGGCCCTATGATGGTGTCCCCTGAATAGATATGTGGACACAGTTGGCAATGAGCTTTGGTGCAAGGATAGGTTCCTGGGTTACTGGTTTTGTTGTGTGGTTGCTGGTGAGTATTTGCTTCAGGTTGGGGGGCTGTCTGTAAGCAAGGACGGCCTGTCTCCCAAGATCTGTGAGATAGCTCACCTTACCTGATCACTCTCGTTACAGTGTGTATGGTAACACCCATTGTTTCATGTTCTCTGTGTATATAAAATCTCCCCACTGTATTTTCCACTAATGCATCCAATGAAATGAGCTGTAGCTCACGAAAGCTTATGCTCGGATAAATTGGTTAGTCTCTAAGGTGCCACAAGTACCCCTTTTATTTTTATAAATACCACAGATAGCTAAAAAGGTGAACATTTCCACAAGTACCATTCTTTAAATGTGATATGTTAGTAGTGGCATTGCAGAATTATTTAATTGTCATACTTTGACATAATTGTAGATGGTCTTACACTCAACACATGTTGGATGCTTTGTGAGGTGACTCATGAAACCCATGAATTGCTTACTGGCCAGTTGGCACCCTTGCCTGTCATGAGAACTAACAAAAGTCCAGTGTTTCCAGCCCCTCTTCTTTTATCTTACTTTTAAGTGTGTAGATTATTTGGGGGATTTAAATGGACACATGCGATTAACAAGTATGTCAGCATCACCACAGTCAGGTGATATTTTCCAATGCTCCTTCTCATTTAGCTGAGAAGCATAATAATAAATATTAATAAATGCCTATCTCTTAGGCATTGTCTACATTGGTGGTGGTATGCGTAGCTCCATGCCGCAATAAAATGCAAGCTGCATCTATACTGCAGTGTGTAGCTACGTGTGACAGTGTAAAGCTCTGGCAGAAGTGAGGCAGTAGGGGGAGGCTCCAGCAGCACCCTGCAAGAGCCTTTCCTTGCTGCTGGAGCCTTTTACTGCAGCTGGGAAAGGCTCCAGCAGCAGGACACTACAAATACAAAGCTAAAAATAGCAGTGTCTATGGAGGAGGCAGTGCTTGGGTGTATAGAGAGCCATGTAGGGTATATACCGTAGAGACATGCCAGTGCTAAAACTCCAATCACCGAAGCAGTGCCTCACCGTCAACTGTATTTTAAGCTGTGTAGTGTCCTGCTGCTGGAGTCTGTGTTGTACCCTGCTGCTGTAGTGGAAGACTCCAGCAGCAAGGGTCTATGCACAAGCATAACTGCGTATGGAAAATACGAGGTTCTGTTCTCTTGTCACTTTAGGAAAAAAAATCTGAAAATCAGTGTGGGTGGGCCATACTGACATCTTTGCACTCTGTAGACATCTGTATTGGGAAATCTGACATTAATGAGGTTTTCAATATTTTTTTAGATTCACCACATATTTAAACATTTGCCGGAACTATTTATAGGTACTATATTCTCCCTTGCATGGGATATTCCTTCGTATGGGACAGGAAACCCTCTGAGTTCCAGCTCATGGAATTTTCCACATAATATTTTCCATTGGAGGAGGCATCTGGGGAACAACTGGCTCCCAGGGGAACAAGCAGGGGTTTGGCCCATTAGAGCAATGGAACTTGGAAGTCCTAGAAGTCCAGTGTCTCTGCATGGACATCCGGTTGATCCTCCACTTTCTCGGGCAGCGCACTCCTTCAGGGATCATACTGACATGTCCATGTGCCCTTAGTGGATGCAGACTAGCAGCCACAGAAGGGATGACCAAGTGTTAATATTTCCAACATAACTGCCAAGGATTCAGCAGAGGAACATCCCTTTGGTGTGTCTGCTCTTTCTCTCCCCACACCAGTAGAGTAGTGGAGTCTCTACTCCCACAGAGGAGCTGTAATGCAAGAGCTGCCCTGGGACTCCAAAGACAGGTTACTCTGAGGGTCTCCTGTCCTCTACACAAGAATTCCCTCATCTACTACTCTCAGCTCTAGGATAGTGTTGCCACCTCATTACTCAGGACACACCTGTTCATTAATGGTTATTAATAAACAGTTGTTAATAAGCGTATGCGTCTCTACAGGCCTATATGGATTTTTAACAGGACGGTGAAAGAGGACAATAGGGACCTTAGTTTGTGATGCATTTCCAGCTGCCACCTAAAATGTATTGAACTGTCTTGTTATATGCTTCTGAGCCCTTCCTTTCCATCAGACACAGGCCTGGTTATTATTTTTAATAACAAGTCTCTGTATTGATAGGGTCCTTTTCCTCCAAGAATCTCAAGGTCCTTTACAAACAATGGTTACTTCTTCCAACTCCCAATTAGTATGTGCCTCCCTCACAGTGGGATTGGGAGAATTAACTAAAATGCTTTGAGATTCTTCTGTGCAGATAAGGGGCTATGTAAGTGCAAAGTGATATCATTCTTAATTAAAAAAAAATTACAGATGGAAAAAGTGAGTCAGTATTTGTTCAAGTCTATGCAGTGATTCATTGGCAGAGCTAGAAACAACATATAGGGGCTGGATTCTCATTCTTTTTCCTGACCCTTAAGCTGCTTTTGAACTCTGTATTTTGGGACTGTGCAGATTCATTTCAGGCTCCTCATGTAAGTTAGAGCAGTTTCAGTGTTCTAATTGCTCTGTGGGAAACCAAAAATAGCCATAATGCAGCGCACACCCCTAGCGTAGGCACCTTATACACTAGCCAGGGAGAACCCATGTTCAGAGGGTATTTTCAAGTGGATGTTTCTGTCCACTTTAAGGCCTCTTTATCCTGCCAAAGTTGTAAAAGAATCTTGGTGTAATTGAGAATCAAGCCCCAGAAATCTTCACCCTAAAACACTAATCTGACTACTACATACAAATATATTTGTTCTGAAAGCACCGTCTGCTGCAGGGCAAACCATATCAATAGCTTTATGCTGCAGACTGGATCTTGCAGCACTCCTGATAACGCAGAATGTCTGACAATACTGCAAAGTACCTGCAATTAAATAAAATGTAAAATCCAAATTGACCTATGCCTGCCTCCCTTATCACAACAGTCCATCAAAACATAGTAAATACAATGGAGTAATGGAAAATCCACTTACCTGTTTCTGTGCTGTCTCTTTTAGAAGTGCAGTAATGTTTGTGAAATACCTAAGGAAGGTTTTTAGAGTACAGACATTTGGTTGCCTTTATACAAGCAATTTGAAAAGCTCATCTCAGAAATCAAACTTGCTAGGCAGAAGCTCTCTGGATGGGAAACTGAAAAGAAGAAAAAAAAAACTTTTTAATCTAAGTTTTGCAAATGTGCCAAATTGTCTTTCTGTAAAAGCCACTTAAAAAAACAAAACAAAACAAAAAAACAACACTCTCCCCAATAAATGTTTTCAGCTGTCAAGGAAGAGTGACATCCAGTGGCAGGTTAGATTAATCACAAGTGCATATATCTGGAAACTCTAGAATGTAGTCAATGATACTCCCTCCCCACACTTACTGAGAGATAAGATGAGCTTAGTCCCACACATTGCTGTGAATTATTACTGCCATCCACCAGTGTTTCTTATGGTATGCAGCTACTAAAGGTCAGAGGAACATGGTGCATAAAATTGCCTACTCCATAAAATAATATGCATCACCAGCATGACTGGCAATCTTACCTGAATCAAATCATGGATGGGTATTGAGTAGTCAGTTGTTTTCAATTCACCTGCAGTTGTAATTAACCTGTGTGATCTCTCCTGAGCATAATGCCAGTAATGACAAAACAGATTAAGATGCCTTCCCGATTTTTTTAGATCTACTTGCATCCTCAGTGTACAACTGGGTTGGCCATACATGGGGAGCCCTGTTTTTAGTGCCTTAGAATATATTGTGCTAGAATTTCAAAAGGGTTGGCAGCTGCACAGTATTTTGTGCATTGCTTCTGATTAACATGCAGGCCACATCCTGAGCATTGCAATTCCCCTTGACTCTGATGAAAGCACTTTGAACCTCTCGGACTTAGCCCAAAAATAATACTTGACATTGATGGTATGTTTTTAATTGAATATGAGTACATCGAATATGAGTATTGTGTAACTAATTCATTAAGCCTCAACTCCCCCAGCTCCCTCAATTTCTTTCTGCCACTTTCAACCTTATAGCCCTTCCGTCCTATCCACTTCCCAGTTCTTTTCTTCCACCTTAATATTCCCCCATTTCCACCTCCTTTTCCTATTAGCCCATTATCTCCTACTTTCCCTTCATCCTACAATAGCTCCCAGAATATATTTAAAACTAGAACAGAAAAATATGGACTTAGCTGCCCTTCATGCAGATCACTCTGCTTCGCTGTTGTATTCCTTCCCCTCCCATCTTTTGCCTGTTTTGTCTATTTCGACTGGAAGCTCCTTAGGGCAGGAGTTTGCATCCCTCTCTCTGTTTGTTCTGCACCCAGTTCAATGGGGCTGCAATCCTCACTGGGGCCTTTGGGCACTACTTAGTACAAATAATAAAATCGTCATTAATAATAATGACATCACCAACTTGATGAGATCGGCAAGGTTATACCCATTTTACAAATGAATTAACTGCATCACAGAGAAGATAAAGCCCAATTTTTTGTACCTGGCCACTGGTTTGCAGGGTTTAAGATGAAGCAGGCTGAGCCTGATTTTTTTAAGTGCTGAGGCACCCATAACTTCAAATGAAATGAAAAAGACTGTGGGTGCTCAAGTGTTTATCATCCGGCTCAAGGCATCTCAAGGTACGCCAAATCATCAGCCTCCTCTGAAGACTTGCCAAAAGCTACGCAGTAACTTATGATTATGTATTGAAATAGCAAGTAGTGACCCCAACCAGGATCAGGGTCCCAGTCTCCTAGGTGCTGAACAAACATATATGGCTGATTGGGATTTTACAAGTAAGGGGAAGCACATAGTTATGCTGTCTCCCCAGGGAAGATCATAGACCAAATTCTGACTCAGAGAATCATGACTGAATCAGAGTCCACTTAAATTTATACAAGCACAAAGCAAAGTCATTAGAAATGCAGTTCTCATTGAAGCCAGGAGTTTATGCATTCAGGTTCTGCTCCCTTTTCTACTTTTGCAATAGAACACAAGGAGGAAAATAAGATCAAAAGCTAAGCAAGTTTTCCAAGAAGCTATGTTAGTCCACAAGACCAAAGAACAAAGTCATGCTACTTCCTAAGTTCATGTGGCCTTAAGTGTCCTGAATATGCCTCGAGCATGCTGAAAGCAAAACATTACTAACAAGCTCTCCAGATCATCCTCCTTCTCATGTCCTCCTCCTATGTCACCCTTTGTCCTCCACTTCCTTTTTGTTAATTCATTAGAAGTTTTCCATGTCACATCTACCTACTCCAGTCTCTTCTAGATTCTGAAAATGTTTCTTTAGTTAGCCAGATGAGCCCTCACAAATAGTGCGTTAATTTAGATCCCACATGTGCGCCAACATTCCTGCACATACCCATTTATTTAGCATAAAATTCATATATGTTTCATCTTTCCTTAAAAAAAGTGTTCTCATAGATGTCCTTTGCCTGTAGGTTTGTTATGTTTACCAGCATTACCAGCTGCCACTAAATTCATGCGCTGTTCATAAATGTAACAGATTTTTTTGGACAGCTGTTGATCTGGGCATAAACACATTCATTCTAATGGCTACATTAGTTCTACATGTTTATTTGGTGGGTTGTTTTTTAAACTTTTATTCCATCTAATTATCCCTGGCATTCACCCATTGAATAATGAGTTTCTTGTGTAGAGAGTCACCTTTACCTCTATTTATATTAAGTTTGCACACAATCAACTGGTGTGTGTGTGTTGTCATAGAAAATGTATGAAGTGATAGATTTTCTGTCTATCATGAACAGATATGGAACTTGTGTAAACTCATTCACAGAGAATGCACCCATTGCGAATCCACAGCTGTTCGCTTGGGAGTCAAAATGACTGTGTTCCCTATTTCTCAGTTAGTATTCCACAAACCACTTAGGTGAATTTCAAAATAATTCTTTGGGTATGAATTTAAGCCCATACATACATAATTAAAGAATATGCAGGAAACAGAAACAGTATTTTACCAAGGTGTAGAAATCACCCTGACCCTACTCACACGTTTACATAAAGTGAGGTGATGTGGGACAGAGCAGGAGACTGGCAACTAGGGCATTTAGCTAGTCCCCATACTACCACAAACTGTATTATAAGTTCTTCAGGGCAAGGACTGTGTCTTGCTATGGACAAGATTGTGGCTTGCCCAATGTGTCCTCAAAAAGGAGTAAGGGGAATAAGGTACCTGCTTAATTGCATACATGAGCTAGCCTCATCATAGGTGACAACAGTTTCTACATGGAGTGAGCAGGGAAATGAGTGAAGATGAGTGATAGACATTTGTTGGGTGTTGGTGGAGTCTTGCTTCCTATTTTCCCCTCCCTCCCCACCAACATATACGATCCAGCACAGTTGAGCCAGCATGGAGCGGGAAGTAATATGCACCAGATAAAGAATGACACAAAGGACTTCCCCCAGAGCAAGATGGGAGGGAAGAGAAGGATTCCTATTGGAGTGAGTTCGAGGACTAGCCTTCCAAATGTAAATACAGTGTAAGGCTACAACCTGTAGTGGAGTAACCAAAGAGCCCATGAAGTCTAGAATGCAATCTCTGTAATATACCAACTATATTACTCTCTTTATTAGAATATTGTCTGCAGAAGGGGAATTGTGATTATCTTGCTACATAGCTAAATTGCACGAAAGGAAATCTCATCATGAGATCATTTTGATTGATGTACCAGAAAAAGCAAGAGAAGTGTAATTTTTTAGTTTTGTTCTTTTTTTTTGTGTGTGGTTTTTTTGAGATGCCAACTTTTTGTCCAGATTTGAGATGGGAAAAGAATTTTGCACTCAAATTTTTATAGAATGGCCTAGGTTTAGTTGGTTTCAGACTCCACTACAAAGAACAATTAATATTTCAAGTGAAAGTATGATTAAATCAATAACTAGAAGTTATGTTAAAAGTATGAGATTCCGTCTTTCTTTTGTTTACTTTGGGTACTCTAGCATAATTTGTTTTAAGATTGGTGTAATTTTCTCTGAATCATGGTAGATACTGAGAATCCAGATTTTTTGTTTTGATCTATTTACCATGGACACAAGCTGAGCTTGTTTTCTGCCAATGGTCTTCAGACATTTTCTGTTACAGACATTAATGTATTGAGTCTCATGGCACCAATGTGAGGTTAGATGAACTATAGTATATCATTCTTACGGATGGGAAACTGTCAGTGTTCATGAAATGAAACCACACTGTACTTTGTTGTTCACCCCTAAGATAAGGTTTCCCAATGCAATAACAGTTGTTTAATTACAGCAGCCAAAATCCATCCAGAGGGAACTGAGAATCATTTACTTTTTCTGCTCTTGCTCAAAAATGCATAACAATTTGGGACAAGGGAAAGTTTTAGTTAGTGGTTAGAGAACATGATGGGGGATCCATAAAACCTCAGTACTGCTCAGATGTAATATCTATCTCTGATTTAACCTCTGTGTGTAGCTCTTTGAGTTTCTTTGACTGATATGCATTGCTATGACTCATCACAATAAATTAACATAACAGCACATGACTGATGGAACAGAATGTGACACAACAAAACAACTATCTGAGGCCAAGGAATTTGGTAGGACTCCATTTTTAATACTGCTGCAAAAAAAGCGTTAATTTTTCCCCCATCAAAGGCTCGCTACATTGAAGGAATTTTAGTCCTTTATATCAAATTCCAAATAGTTTTCAGAGATGAGCCTGAATCAAACCCTGGATCTAAAGAACTTACTATTTATATAAACAGGCAGAACATAATCCAAAAGAATTAGGATCTGAGTGCAATTTTTTCCAAATTTCAATGTTCTGATTTGGCTCATAATACAAATTGGTTTGACATATGACCTGGATCCAGGGTTCGCTTTCAGGATTTCATTTCAGGCCTCTCTTTATGAACAAAGTAAAGACAGAAAATTAGTGTCTGGGGGTAAAATCCTGGCAAAACTCCCATTGACTTCAATAGAACTAGGATTTTTCCCCATACTTACTTCTGGTATTTTGACTTCTGGTTTTCATCTGGGGTCAGAAGTGGAAGTATTAACTTCATAATATTATTAATGATTTGTGTTGTGGTCACACCTAGGAGTGGCAGTCATGGACCAGGACTCCATTGTGCTAGGCACTGTACAAACACAAACCAAAAAAGATGTCCCTGCTGAGGGAGTTCACAGTCTAAGTAATATCCCACAAGACTCCTTTGCAAACTCAATAACCTTTGAGTTGAACTTTCAAGATCACAATGTCTGGTCTCCTTTAAAATATTTCTTAATTTGTCATAATTTTCTTATCTGAATGTTAACACAGTAGTTTTCTGTCCTATTTTTGGTGTTTCTTTTGAAATGTGTCACTACACACTTGTTCACAGCAGCTTCAAAACTATATAGGGCCCAAATGTGCAGGTATGAATTTAGCACTGTTGGGTAATGAGTTTAGATAACTCATTGATGTTAACCCCAGTAATTACTGAAAAACTGAATGGCAGTGCCTATTTTGGCTGAAAAATGTCAGGTCTGTTAACTATAGCTGGTCTAATCAATGTGTAAATTATGCAATCATTTTTGTTGATGGGGTCCCTCAACTGAACAAAGGACTGGGCCCAGTAATCACAACAGTAATTTCCTTCTTTAAATAAAAGCAGATGGAAGGGATGAGAATAGCAGGAGTCTGACTGATCCTTGCGGTAATAAGGGAGGAGATAAACTGATGAAAGTGACAC